ACTGGACAATGATTTGCCAGCTTTCTGAGCATGCTCTCTTCCAGGATTGCTTTTGCGAGCCACAGGCTTTATACGTTTCAAAGGCAAAGGAGGTTGATAGAGCATAAGTTTCTCTCCCAAAATAACCCCAGGAAATAAATGCAAAAAAAATAACAGCCTTCACAGATTCTTCTAACCAGTACTGCTTGGCTCTGCTTGTGCAGAGGGTAAATGAAGTTGCTGAGCACCCGAGTGTCTGTCACTGTTCAGGAGTGCACTAAATAGCCAGAAAAGGTTATTAATTTAAGCCTGAAAGCTGCAGCAACAAAAAAGGAATTCCTTCAGGAAGACGGCTCCAGTGTATCACAACAGTTGTTCTCCGCTAGTAGCTGCTTTCTATCGGCAGACTGAGCATTTGCTCCCTCACTCTGGAAAAGGATGCTCTCGCTCTCAGACTAAACGCAGCTCTGGCAGAGCTGTAGAGTGAGTGAATAACAGACTGAGTTATAAATCTTGAGAGAGGAGCAGAGAGATACCTGCCCTAATTATATCAGCCGTACGTTAAAGGCTAATAAATCACACAGGCGCTTCTCAAAACTAGATTATCAATACAAAGGGGAAAACTGCAGGGGGTAAACCTCTCTGCTATGAAAACTCTCTTAAAGCTATTTAGTCAAAGGGATCTCAAAGGATTGTCACTTGTGACAGAAAGTAAGAATGCTTTTCAGGAGTCATTTCCAATTAAAATCTTTTCCTGAATACCTTATTAGGACAAGAAAGACTAGAGTTTTGACAAATTAAAAGCATACAGTTGCACCATCACCCCTTTTTCTAGCCATCCTTGAATCCAAAGAGCTAACATCATTTGATGTTTTTCCCATGACAAAGCAGAATTATTTAAGCCATCTAAGGATGGCAGTAGGATGTTCAAGAGCATGGAAGTGTTCTGCTACCAGCAAGGCACTCCCAATGCAATGCAGCTATTTCTTATTACTTCCAAAGGTAATATGATGTACCTACTTAAACCTGTATGAAAGGGGATGCTGTAGCAAAGGTTCAGGGAGGCCATTATCAACACAGCAGGTGGTAGACACCATTACAAGTAATCGTATTATTTAAAGTTTGTATTGCAACATGAACAGGTATCTACACATTTCAAGCACATCAATCAGCACAGTATGGAGGCACCAACTACAGGCAGCATGACAAATTCATATGATCCTAGATAATGCATAGCTTAGATGCCAGTGCATTATACACTGGTTTGCCCCTTCACAGGCACTTTCCATCTGAGGGGATGAATGCCAGGTGCAGGATCTTCATACAGGGCATTTAAATACTCCTCCCACCCAATTCTAACACCACCTTTTCATCCTTATTTTTTGAACTGAATCCATATTTCCACCACTCCTCAGAGAAATGTTTTTACCTGTACTCTGTTTTGTTCCTGATCTGTTCAGCACCAATGATAAACATAATTTTGAGGAAACAGAGCTTTCATCCCACTCTGTATATAAAAATATTACCACTTGTATTCTCCACCTTGCCAGATGCCTTCTTTCCTCATTTGAACCATTCCCCTGAACTCCATTGCTCCTGGCTTATATTCCCTCTCCCAGAAATCCATTCCTTTAACCTACCAGCTCTAGTCTACCATCATTAGCTGATTAGCCTACCATAAATACAGACTGGGCGATGAGTGGCTTGAGACCAGCTCCGAAGAGAAGGACTTGGGAGTGGTGGTGAACAAGAAGCTCAATATGAGCTCGCAAGGTGCACTTGCAGCCCAGAAGGCCAATAACCATATCCTGGGCTGCATCAAGAGAAGTGTAGCCAGCAGGTCGAGGGAGGTGATTCCACTCCTATACTCCGCTCTCTTAGGCCCCACCTGGCTCAAACCTCTCCTGTGTAAGGTAGAGCCCACAGTCCACACCTGCCACCTTCTTTCAGTTCCACTTTTTTTTTTTCTTCTCATCTAATATACAAGTTTGAATCAAGCAGTGAAACAAACAGTCCACTATTAGTCATGTTGATTTCAATCTACAATAAAACAAAACTCCCAAATTGTTTTGAACACCTTTACATCTGTAGCCACAGGACTTCACACACATCAACCCAGTGTTATTTCTTAGTATTTCCTAGCTGATTTTCTGCATCTTGCTTCAAATTAGGTTTTAATCTCTTTCAGGTGGTGGCTAAACATTTTGTAACACAAACTGGAGTGTTTCAGCACTAACCTGAAAGGAAAGTCTTCTGCAACATTTAGATCCTGAGAGAATGAATTAAGAAGACTGATGCTGTAATTGTGAATTTCCTTCTTTTCAAAAAGAAGTAATTACCAGACTCAAAGTTTGCCTTATTTGCACAGTATTGTTGATGGCATCGCACGTTGCAACAGAATGTGAAACAAGGCTTCAACAGCACCCAGATCACCGATTCCACTGTAGAGTGGCTTGAGTTGCAGCCAAACAAGTCAGCCCCATAATGTAAAGCAGGATAGTCCTCCCATGCACACATACAGATGGCAGTTTAATAGATGATCCTATTTTGAAAATGTAGGATATATAGTAAAAATAACAAAAAAATAAGTTTTGTCTATGTTCAGCAGATATTTCAACTAGAATTTATCACACCTTAAAATCATAGTGAAGTTCTACTCTATGCACATGCCTTGGGGCCAGAGGCATCTTCATACAGAGTGGAGAAAGTCACAAGCCTTGCATTCTTCTTACAACTATTTAGAAGAAATACTTCTTCACATATTCAAAGCACAAAGAGAACATTGTTATTTTATAACACTCAACAGGGGTAGAAAAGGAAGCGATCCTTGTTTAATCAGCTGTTAAGCTTAAGAACTTGCAAGGGAGTGGGCTTGATTTTTAAAGGCAAAGCAAGATGCTAGAGCTTTTTTTTTTTCCCCAAAAAAAGTTCATTTCAACAAATATTTGAAAAGAGAAAAGTTGATTTTGGAATGTTTGCCAGTGTCATGATATGAATGTTTCCAGTTATATTTAAAGTGAGATTGAAAGATGGCAGGAGGAAAAGTTCATTTTGGAAGCCATTACAGTATGACAGTCTTTGACACGCTCTACTTAACTTCATTTGGTAGTTGAAAAAAGCTCACAATGTTATGTACAGTCATGGGTAAATTAAGTTGTTATGCTTCACGTGCACAGTGTGTAGAAGCATATAGTCACAGAAGAAGACTGAGAATATCAGGTAACATGATGCTGAACAAGGGGAGGCCATGCCCAAGCACCTACATCTGCCTTCTCAATGGTTATAAGCCAGGACAACAGACATGGTCAAGACCTTCTCCACACAGCAGGCAGACTTGCCCAGCAGTTCTTCCCTCACACAGCACAACTCTGGCAATTTTACCCAGAGTACAGCACAATGAAGGAGGGCAAACAGTCATCCATGACCAAGGTGCTTCCCAGCTGCATAGAGCCAACAAGCAAATTGTGAAATAACAGCTGTATCTTGGTGTGACTGACTACACAGAATGCAAGGTAAGGCAGAAATAACTCTATTTACACACAGCACTGCCTCGTATTAGCTTTCTGTAGCCCCATGTTAGCTCTTCTACCACACTAGTTGTCTGGGGTTTTTTGCCAAGAGAAAGTATAATGTTAACTTCTAGATGTTGCCATTACAGCCTAGTCTCAGCATTTCATGAAATGCTGTATCTCTACAGATGAGTTACCTGACTGACCAGAATCATATAAACATTAGTGAGTGACATGTCATCTTCAACAAGCACAAGCTTCTACAGTATATTGTTCCCTTCCTTATTATTACAGTGAGTGGCTTGCTATCAGATACTTTAAACTGTCTTGTTTCATTTAAATTTAATGTAGATATGTTTGGATTAACAGCACTACTGAAATCAGAACTCTTTTTCATTATGAACTGTTCAAATCCCATGAATTTAGACCACAGGTGACATTATTCCAAACCTAGAGTGCAGGATTTAATAACTGACCTAGCCACCCAGTTCTATGCATACTAAAATAACTGTGCTATATGAGCTAATATATCTTTTCCTTCAATCTAATTGAAGGAAAAGATATATTAAAACATTCAGGAGAAACATGACACATGTACAGCGTTTACATCAGGTAAACAGGACACAAGAAATTAATGTATCAGAAAAACACTAAAGCCTTTTAGCCAGTGATAGTCAACCTTTTGCTGCCACAGACCCAAAGATATTAATTTTTAAAGGAGCTGTCAGGCCTCCACACCCTTTCCTCCTGTTTTTCCTCAATACACTGTACCTTTAATGCAGACTGAACCCAGCCTCTCTCTCTCCCTCCCACTTCCCCAAAGGAGATGTATGGGACATGCAAAAGCAGGAACACCCAGACAGATGGACTCAGCTTGTCCATGCTTCTTAGGCAGGGAGAAGGGATCTCCCTTCTAGATTTCAGACAAGCCAGGCCGTCCATATATTAAAAAGGACTGTAAGTGCTGTCAGTCTGTCTCCTCAGTTACTTCTCAGGTTTCCAATCTGTGGCCTGTACAGGAAGGCAGGCCAGCTGGAGAGAGCTGCTGGGCAGCAGGACAGGGAGAAGAGGTGATCCAAGCACGACAACTTCTTGGATTGCTGGAAAAGCAGGAGGAAGGCAGGAGGCAGGGATAGGAGACAGTGAAGCCCAGGAGGGCTTTACTTGGAGGCAAGTAGATTAAATTATTTGGTTGGACAATCACACAATGTGACTTAGTTTAATCAAGTATACACGTCCTGAATACAGTTTCTCTCTGAAGTTTAATACAATTCCTGAATACAGTCACTGTCCAATGACATTGAAGAACCCCCAGTGCCACAGATTTCCACAAAATATGTATTTGAAACCTGAGGAAGAAAAAACTGCTTCCTTCACACACGACTTCTGAAATAATGTTTTTTAAACTCCTTCCAATAGGCTGCAGGTTTCCCCATGCTAGCAGAGGGCTTTCCTTTATAACAATTGCCATTGAGAAAAAAGCAAGAACAGCAGTATTATTTAGTTTCTCACCTGTATCTGTTTTCTGAGTTCCCTTAGGCAGGCACTGTCCTGAGCAGTGTTCTCACGCTGGGACGCATCTGCTAGAACATTAACTGTTGTCTCTGCCTCTTGAAGCCACTTGAGGAAGCTCTCCAGATCCTTGTGTGAGGCCTGTACTGTCTTCAGCTCTGTCTCCAAGAAATTCTGCCTGTCAACAGCTCTGAAAACAAGACAAGTGTCAGAATATTCCCCCATAACATACAGCATTACATACATAATGAAACTACTAAAAGGAAATCCAAAAGGTGTCTCTATTAAGAAACTATACATCTGCCACAGCTTGTTTTATCATTATTTACATCACTGTTCCTCTGATTATTATATCTATAGCTAGCCACAGATGTTCTGAACTGGATATATATGTCATAGTCCTTTTTAAAAAGGCATGTGGAAGAAATTAAGTTATTAATTAAAAATCTAGCTTTTCCTTTCGAGTATTACCATCACACACTTATATTACCCCAAATGGTAGAAGTGTTATTCCCATGTGTGAAAAGTGTGAATACTTTTCCTCATCAACAAAAATCATATGGAGTAGAAGCATTGAGGCTTTGGGGGATTTTTTCTTCCTCTTTTACAGTGAGCAGAAACATTTCTCTAAATTTGTAAGAGTTAAAGTACTGAGGGATGAAAAGTCAAATACCTGGTTCTCTCTACTAAAAGACAAGGCTTTTGATATTATTACTCAAACATACAGAATAATACACTGTCATCATAAAAGTTAAGGCATGCTCGACATGCTTAAATCTAAAAAAAAAAAAAAAAAAAAAAAGACTGGCAGAATAGAGTCCAAATTTTCAGTCAATGAAAAAGATCTCTGGTTGGTACACAGAAGTTTGTAAGAGGATTTTTTTAAGATCTAAGGAACTCATTTAAAAACTTTGGCTTATATTGTTGGTAAGCAACTTAAAAGGAGTTCCTAGAAAAAAGGTCACATTATACTTCTGCATCACAGAACTGTTTCCTTGTCATTGAAATGAAACTCAGGTGGGAAACTGTTATAGTCAGCAATTTTAAAAGCTCTGATTAACAATGTTAATTAAAGCATGACAAGCTAATTTCATCCATTTGAGGTTGCTACTCTGCAGTATCCCTTTTCCCAACATCAGAACAAAAGAAACAAGCTGTCTCATGTCAGCCTACTGTGTAGAAATCCCTAACAGGGCTACTATCTAGAATGATGCTGCTAAATAAGTAGAAAGTTCAATTTTATTTTCACATCAAGTACTAACCATATTGTAAGATTTCAGGGGCAAAGGAATATTTAATTGCAAATAAGACAAGACCAAAACACTCAGCATTTATTTTCACATGAATTAAACATGCTTCTCCAGACAGGCCTATCAAACTTAGGTGTCTTCTAGTCTCCTTCTATTCTACTTAAGCTTTCTTTGCCTTGCCATGCTGTGGCACCAGTACTGCTCAGCAGTATTAGGGAATCACACAAAAGTATTTAAAATATTCTTTTTAGAAAAGGAGCTGCAAGTGTTCACTACCATTCAGGATGACATTTCAAAGCAGGCATTCTGGTTTACTAGCACATCATAAAAGACAGATGCAAGGAAAAGCTGTTGTCCTTCAAGGGCATTAAAATGTCTCATGCAATCCCAGTTCTGCCAGACTTACATTCCTATGTATTAGCATAATCAACTGAATTTTCTACAGACAAAGAAGATAAGTGTTGCAATCCCTGCTTCAGGAGCTTAGGTTTTATGTCACTTGTTAATAATTGCTTTATCCAATATAATCATTCCTGACTTCATGCTTGCCCAGGTTTTGGCTACTGGTAAATGACTAGTAGGGCAAGAAGCCTTCATTCTTGCTTCTCACTTGAAGCTCAGGAATGCTTCACTCACTCTTGATGAAAAATAATAAATTGCATGCTAGGGATTCCAAATGGTTTGACAGATATTGCCTAGAAAAGATAACAAGCACCAGCTCAAAAATTAGAGCACAACAAAGAACTGCGAAAAAAATGTAAAGTAAAAGCAGTTATGAGCTCTGGCTTCAAAACCCTCTCCCTCTGCAGGGATTTTCTTCCGTAGCAGGAGGTTAAGGCCAAAGGTGGAAGAACAGGAGCAACAACAGGAAGAACAGATTGGTAACAAAGGTGACCTTCAAAGAAAAAGAAAAGGCCTAAAGGATGAAACACTAAGTGACCCAGATCTCTAAGTCTAAGTATCAGTGTACTAGATGGGAATTGAGACAACTTGAACTCTGCAGCTAATAACATTCATTGAAGAATGTCATCTTCAGCTTGAAGTTTTAATTTCTCAAACTTTCTGCTTGGTTGAAATTAAAGGAAATAATGAAATCCTATTACAGTCCCACTGCTGTCATGATATTTGAATTAAAGCTGAAAAATCCTTCCTTTCACTAAATACATACTCCAGCAGGATAAATTAACAGATTTACAGCTAACGTTCTTAGATTACATTAGTGCTTTTAAAGAGGACCTGTATAGCAGTAGCGAGCAGCACTTTTATAGAGCAGATGCAAATACTTTCATTTCCTTCCAGTAAAGGCTACAAATGTAAAATAGAAAATGATGGAGAATTCTGTACTGCAGATTAATGACCATCCCAAAAGATGGTCCCTTGAGGACGTAAGAATTAAACTTAAGGAGAACCTGGAGAATCCTTTACAAATGCATCTAGCTTCATTTAACACAGTGATAGTGGAGAAGGTCTAAGCAGATTCTAGTAGCAAAGACACGTCCAAGAAAGAAAATTGTAACTCTACTATTTATATTTTCATGGCATTGTTTCAGGTTTCTGCTCCACCCAATTATTTTTTTCAGATTTAAACTAAAAAATCTGCAATTAATACAAGAGTGTGATCAAAAGGAAGTCAGAAAATAACATCTGAGACAGTACAGACAGCAACTATAATCCATTACAGAGGCAGCAAAACCACATAGAATTACTACAGTTTCACCCTAAAGTATAAAAATAGAACATAAATAGCCACTGAGCAGAGTATTTAATTTACACAATGTCAAGCTGAGGAGCTTCAATCTCTTAATGACAACAGTTTTAAAATAAGCTCCTTCAGCTTTACATGCCATGGCTACAGCCCTCCTGGTAGTGTTCTTGCACTATTCAGGACTCTGATTTTCCCAAGTGACATTACTAAGGACCTCTTTCACAACCTCCAAGCATAGGAACTAACTGGTACTTTAAAGCATTATGCTATGAATACAGATCTGCACTTATAGAAGACAGAGCCATATGCTCCACGTACAACCCCTGCATGTCCCGAGATCTGCCACATGAAGTAAGCCTTGCCACTCAAGGTTCACTAGTATTTCTATTTATTGCATTTAAAGCAAGTATAAAAACCTTAAAAGCACCTGTAAGAAGGTGCTTTCACTGCACATTCTCCCCTTTCAATTCTACTCTCCTGCTCCATGGGGTTACGTTGAGCAGCTCCACACTCTGGTTACCCACTGGCTCTCCGAGTTCTCCTGTACATTCTGTCACTAGTTAAAAAACAAAGCAGATACTCATCTTCCTAAGGCTGCAGACTGCAAAACAGTAGCCCCAGTGATAACCAAGGAGATTCAGTTATACACAACAGAATGCAATTGCTTATTATTCCAGACTTCAAGCAGATTCAAAAATAATTAGAGGTTTCCAGACAGGAGCTCTTCTTTCTGGTCACCTGCTCTGAGTAGTTGGCAATTTTATGTCAGTTCTACCTAAAACATTGCTAAGCTTGAATGTGAATGAGACTATGACAGAGCTGTAGTCTGTCGCTGCTAATCCAACAAGGAACTGTTTCCCTCCACCCTCTAATTGCATCTTTATCACAAGATGTCATCATGACGTTCAGATGAAGTTAATAGCATTTTTTGAAAAATTGTTTACTTTGAGGAAATAAAGGATAATATGATGGTGAAAATGCTGCAGCCTCTAATTTTAATGCAAATGAACAGTCAAGAAAGGCCATTTCAAGAGGTGACCTAATCAGCACAACCCAGTTCAGAAAAAGTAAAACTAAAAAGTTTTGTCACATGCCGAAGCCTTTCTCACACCCTACTGGAAGTTTTCTGAAGAACCATGACAAGAAATTGTCCACATCACATAGAATAATTATGAAATGTTTCACTCGTGAAAAATCCTATTCTAGGTCTCAAAATATTTAAGAGATTAACACATTTTTATTCTCTCTCAAATGATCACATGGAATGAGTCATACAAAGTTTTGCTTGTTTTGTACCTTATATCTCAATGGACATAACTAGGAAACCAGCTGCCACATCAAAAGCACAAAATGAAGGAAGCACCATTTTCTTCCAAAGAAGGATAAGACATTCTCTGCTTCCTTCATTACCTACTTCTTGCCACTGTGAAGTTTTCTTCTTCTCACTCCCCAGGATATAACATCAACTTCAGAGGCTTTATTACCCAGTATTTTTATTCCCTTAACTGACATCTCATTACAAAAGCAGTTGCCCATTTTACATGCTCATATGTGCACACATACAGACAGACTTTGGTTGTCATCTCCCTCACTCCCATATACACAGGGATCAATTTTCTCTTCTGTCCCTCTAACTACAAAGCATACCACACTTTAAGCTGCAGGCACTGAGTCAGACACCATTCTAAATGTTAATTATCTATCAAATACTAAAAAGAATTTCTGCAGAGCTTAATTACCTTACAGGAAAAAAAAATATTATACATAGGGAAATACCATATTTTCATTAAGACATATTTGCAAATGTGTCTTAATAGAGGATGAACAGAAAGAAGTAAGTTTCAAGTAAGTCTTGGTTCCCATAGCTCAAGTATTTTCTCAATGGGAATGCTACAAGCATCGCACTCCAGAACCCACAGCACAGCTCCATTCAGGGAAAGTTTCCGTTAGATGAAAGTTCATAATGAATTAATGCGTCGGAAGACCAAGCCGAATACTTACAGTTGTATGAAAAGAAAGCACAGCAACAACCTACAAATACATAAAGAACAGCAGCATCGAGGAACAGGAGAGGAACTGTTCAAAGACACTTAGAGAATAATAGCCACAGGCAAACCTGAGACCTAAGATGAGAGAAGTACTTTTTCTTTTTCTTCTTCCTTAAAAAAAAACCCACCACAGAAACGGGAAGTCATACAGAAGCCTTCCATGGTGAACTGTGGGAACATCCATCATCAAAACTCAAAAACCAGTCACTGTAATTGACTAATTATTCACAGTAGCCTTAAATGCTGCAGTAAAGCAGAGAAGAGACTGCAATACACATGTATATATAGGATATAAGTTTAAAGCACAAACAGCTACATATAGAGTTAAACTTTTTAATTACCTTTGGTTCAGATTAACCCAGCAAGTGTTCATTTGGTCAGTGGTTTCCTTTACCCTCCTTGTGTCATCATCACGATACTCTCGAAGAAGTTTATTAGAAAGATCGTTGAATGCAGCTACTGTGATGTCACCTCTATGCAAATCCTGTACTAACAGCTAAAAAGCAATTCCAGAATGAGACACAGTAAAATAAAAATCAGACTTTTTTCCATATTATGCATGTTATCATATTACAAAATCCCCATTTTTTTGTGTGTTTTTTTTTTTTTAAAAAGTGCATATTTTTAATCTAGAAGAAAAATCTTAAAAAGAAAATCTACAGATACTAAGTGTCCTGACAATGAACCAATGAAAATACAAATAGATGAGGAAAGATTATTTTTGCCAGAACCACCAAAGGCTAAATAAATCATTTTCTGTGTTTTACTGGCAACGGAAGTAAAAACACTTCCGTATTTTTAGTAGCATGCATAAGTTTAAATTATGATAATAGTGATACAAGCAGCAGCTAAAAGTGGCATAAATGAAGCATGCAGCATGAGAATTTGATTTGTTTTGTGGGGTTTTTTTGTTTTTAAATGAAGAAAATACATTAGACGTGTTTGCATACTGTGGTAGGATATTCATAAAATATCTTGACTTTACAGAATCCTGAACTCAAGATTATTTCTAAATGAAAAAAATATATTTGCACATATACATGTCCAGTTGCATCTTACATTCTCTGTACTATATGTTTGGGCACAGGCCTACTTTCACTTCTGAAAGCAAAGCAGACTTAATAGTCCATTTCCAATTCCCTTCTCATGTAGAGAAAGCTGAGGAAAAGCATGCAATTTTACTGTTTACTGAAATAGCTATGGATCAGTGAGGAATTCTCACAATCATACTCCCTGCTTCTTTCCATACTCAGCTGCACCCCTACATTGTCCCTTCATGAATATATATATGTGTATACATATACATACACATGCTTTTTAAAACTCTATTATAGCCCTGTTCTAAATACTACACTGATAAGAGCTGCTCCTCACCAATTTCTCTCTTTAGTTCTCATCCTGTGCCACCTTCAGCTTGCCTTTTTTCTGACAGCCACCAGGACAAACGACAACAGACTTATTGATTTATTACAGCAGGTTTGCTGTGATATGAAAAGCAGTGAAGGTTGTATGGGATATAGGGGGAAGAAAAAAAATAAAAGTGTTGAATATGATCTGGCATCCATCAGCAGTGAAATTCTGGATAATTTTAAATAACTTGGTCCATTCCTGGATTTACTGAACTACTATTAATAGGTTTATAGGAAGTAATACATGCTACATTCTGTGGTTGTATGATGGAACTTTTATTGGTCTGAGGCTCAAGCTTTTTGCATAATATCATTTATTTGATGCTACACTATACTCATTTCAACTACACTTACAAAAAACACACATGCACACAGGCCACCCATTTCTCTCCCAGAAACCAATTCTGAGGAAGTCTAATATATAATAAAATAGACACAACCTAAAATTTATCATGCCCAAAAAGAGACAGAATTGCCAAATCAGTCCCACAACTAAACAGTATGTTCGTGTATCAATTAAATCCAGTAGCATTATACAGACTCAGAAGTCTGATAGGGGAGGAAAAAAAAAAGTGTAGATGGTCTTACTTTGTTTTCTGAAATCTGTTTGGTAAGCATCTCTTTTGGGGCCTGCAGGAGCATACGCAGGCGGATCTCACACTGCTCCATGATGTGCTCCATTTCTCGCCTCTGCTCATCCCACTGCATGCTGTCTGTCAGCATGTACTTCAGTTGCTGCTGCCGCACCTCCACACCATGTTGAGTATTGTCCCACTGGTTCTTCACCTTCTCTACTGTGGAGAACAATACAGAATATTAAAAACCTGAGGCAAACAAACAACTAGCCATAACTTCTTTACAGTGAGGGTGACAGAGCACTGGAACAGGCTGCCCAGAGGGGTTGTGGAGTCTCCTTCTCTGGAGACATTCAAACCCGCCTGGACGCCTTCCTGTGTAATCTCGTTTAGGTTCCTGCTCTGGCAGGGGGATTGGACTAGATGATCTTTCGAGGTCCCTTCCAATCCCCAACATTCTGTGATTCTGGGATAACTACCACTTAATTCTCAGGATAAGAGGGAATAATGTAATTCATTCTCAAATACAGTAGTTTCAAATTCAGCATTTTAGCTCCCCATGGAGTTTACACATTCACACAAGCAAACGGAAAATGCAGGTGTTTGGCTACCTCTTGTTTGAGTAGGTCAGCATACGGGTAACAACTATTATTTCTGGAATATTTCAAAGGCATTATTTTAAAGTACACACAGGTGAGAGGCAAATCTGCCGGAGATGTGCCAGCAGCAGGGCTCCAAGGAGCACAATTTTAGGGTAGAAACCAGTAGAAATAAACATATAAACATACAAACATATAAATAAATAAATACTGTTTAGATCTGGAAAGCTTATACAAAGTGAACTAAGCATTCCAGACCATTGTGCACTGAAGGCAGTCTAGTGGCACCTGTTCTACCATTTTGGCCAAGGTAGACACACTCCAGTAACAGCCTACTTGGGCACTTTCATTCCACCAGAGTTTTCTACAGACTTTTGTAGATTACACAACAGAATAGAGAAGCTACTGATCACACCTCATTTCCTCCAAGTATCCTGGTCCTCTCTCAATAGAGTTATATTATATGATCAATAAACAGGCTTTACCCTTTAATAAGGTGAAAAAAACAACATGACAAAAGCCTAGGACAAAAAATAGTGTCAGGGAAAAAAGTAAGTCTGCCTCTGGAGAGAAATGAATAGCATCATACCTTTTCCTTAATACTTACAAACCATAAAAATAGCATATTACCTGAAAGTCTATAGAGGTGGAAACAGGTTTCCCTATCACCTGTCATGTCCATTATTAGGTATACATTATATCACTAGAACTAGTGATACTACTATGGCATGTGGCAATAGGATGAGGGGTAATAATTTTAAACTAGAAAAGGGTAGATTTAGGTTGGATATTAGGAAAAAGTTCTTCAATATGAGGGTAGTAGATCATTGGAACAGGTTGCCCAGAGAGGTAGTGGAGGCCCCAATCCTGGAGATATTCAGGGTCGGGCTTGATGGGGCCCTTAGCAACCTGTTCTAGTAAAGATGTCCCTGCTTACTGTAGGGGGGTTGTACTAGATGACCTTTGAAGGTCCCTTGCAACGCAATACATTCTATGATTCTAACTAAAGAGTAAAAAAGCAAATGTAAAAAAGCAAACAAAACAGAAAAACCTAAGCTGGATTTCTTGAGTATATCTGCACTCTTAGCCACAACAGGCAGGCAGTATATAATACATACAATATCTATATCTTACTAGTAAGTATACAATTATATTAGAAAACTAACAGACTTGGTACTCTGGTCACTTCAACCTTCCACAAAGTAAAAACGCCACAGGCTGTGCTTAAGCTAAAACCACTTAAGTAAACTTTACCCTTTACATTTTTTTTTTTTTAACCTTTTACAATTATACAAAGCCATTATGCTTGATCTGCTTGAGAAGATCTCTTTAATATATTCAACCATTTTCTGTTTAGTTTCACAAAGCTCTCAAAGACTATGGCAGTGAAGTTCACTTGTCAGCACAACTGTATTAGCAATACTCTGGTCAACATAGATTCATGAATTTCAACGCACAGGCAACTTTTGGATTACATTTCAGGCATGACACAGGTCATGCTGAATGAGAACTTAGAAAGCTTCGGTAACCCAACAGCAAATAATGATAAGGATTTTTATTAAAGAAAAAAAAAATCATGTGACTATATTTGATAAAGAGTATGTTTAAAGGAAACCAGCAGTTGCTGGTAGAGATCAGTGGTTTCACTAAAACAGCAAAAGTAAAAACAGCAGGAGTGAAGAAAGGCTATAACCCTGTGTGCTGGCTAATGAACTGCAGAGAAAAACCTCTTGAGTGTTTAGGGTCTCCCCACAAAGCTGGAAGGAAAAAAGTATCCCTGAGAAACAGCTGTGTACAATAGCAACTTGTTGAGACGGATAAATATTTGATGTTTACATAGTATTATTATAGAAAGAATATTTCTTGATATATTTATCCCTATTAATGACCAAGTTAACCTTATTCTCTGTTGACATATTTCCACTCTTTTCAGCCTCCATCAAAACAGTACAGAAAAATAGTGAAATGTTTGGTAGCTTCAGCATTCAGTGGGTTCTTAAAAAAAGTTGTCAGGGGCACAATTCTGGTATGAAAGGCAGAAAGACCGGAAAGAATTTCTGATGAGACTGTTTTGAATTCCCAACACCCATGCAGTAATTGCGAGGGAAGTTCCAGAAAAGGAAGTTTTTCTCTTTTTCTGTCCTCCCAGCTATTTGAGTAATTAGGCTTCATCTGACAACATACGGCCCATTCACAGACGTTTGTAGTATATCAGTATACATCTTTCCAGTTTTACTTCTAACCATGATATTTCCTGCTGCATGAATTTTCTAATCTTAGCAGCTGGCAAAGCTTAAAACTTCAAAGAATACATTGTCCCTTAGTTTCTAATTGTGTCAGTTATATGTTTTCTTCCCATAAGTACCAGTCAAACAAATTTTCAAAGGGGGTGGGGATCTTTAAACTGGAAACTCAATTTTCAAGTACATTTCCCTAACTCAAAAGCTCTACTAAGTCTCAGTAAACAATTCGGAAAGCACATACACAAAGTTACTGTCCTAAGTCGATACATTCATGCTTTTCACTAACTGTCCGGTGCATCATAGCTCAACAAAAGTAAAGATACATGATTACTTCCTTTTATCAATAAATAAAAAATCCTCATCACTGGGTCTGTGGCTGACAAGTAACTCAAATTCTTCATAAGATGTTTTGAAATCCCAGCAAAAATATTTACCTTGGTACTTGAAAAAATGGCCAGTCAAGAAAACAAGAGGCTATTCTTGTTCCAGGAAATATCATTAAACCGTTAGAGTGAAAGCCACTTAACTGCTAAGATTTCAGTTTGTTCAAGTAAGGTAACTTCAGCTAGGCTCAAAATCAAGACTTTAAGAGAAAGATAAGATTTATTTTTTTATTTTTTTTTTTAATGCCATGGAAACATCATATTTTCAAACACTGAATGGAGAAACTTACATTTTTCTGTGATCACTGTCCTAATGTCTGAACTGGAAGTTTTATTTTTCAAATTCTGAGCCAGTGTAAAAACAGAATCAAGTTGAGGGTGTCGCTGGTCCAAATCTGCCTTTGTTATCTGTTGAGAATTAGGATACAATTTTTAAGTCCAAAAAGCAGAATTTAGTTATCATCATCTGTATTATTTGTAGATAAAACAAAACATGTATGTGTTGCCACAAGTAGATGGCTGTTCCCACCATTACTGTAACCCTTGAATTGTCACAGTATTATGGCATTATTTTAAAAAGCAAAAAATATTCTGAATTACAGTTACTGAAAATCCAGAGGTGAAGGTTAACATATACAAACCACACAGTTAATTGCAGTCAGTGCACAATATTTTCCAGTATCTACTTTTCACATATTTTCTCTCATAACTTAGTTTCTCCTACCAAGTTCTAAGCATTTATATGGGTGGGGGACAGGCACAAAAGGGAGAGAGAGATGGAGAAAGAAAAGAACAGAGAGGAACAATCAGACTATGTTGTATAAAAAAATATAGCTATTTCACTATAGCAAGTGAAGCCAGAAGCCCATATTCCAAGTTTTATATAGTTAGAAGTGTTTCCCAAGTTACATCTCATTATTCTTCCAAATTCCAGATTATATTAGAAACCCATAGAATCAGTTTAGCACTTGTTTAGCCTGCAGCTTTTCTCTACAGTTACTCGTGTTAATTGATATAAAATCAAACAAAATTAACCTTAATGGTAGCATACATCTCACAAGTACTGCCCTTAGTCATGGCTTCACATAGTATGAGTTATCAACAGAAACTAACATTCACATCATAAGCATTTACATTACAACTTTTAATCGTTTTAGCATGTCTCTGGAAATCAGTTTAGCCTAACCACAACACAGCAAAACTCATTAGAAACCACTACAGAGTAAATCATAGAGGTCACCCTCCAAGCAAATACGAAGCTGCTCCAAAGTCTTCAGCATACATTCCCAAAAAGATGTCATTTTCAAGAGATACTTTCTATATGCTTTGTTTAAAACAAAGAAATAGTGCCTAGCTCACATAGGGACAGAGGAATTAACAGGAAATATTACAGGGAAGAAGAGTGTAATAACGACGGCTTTTAAAGTGTAATTTTTAAGTTACACATTTACTGCAGTCAGTTTGTTTGGTTGGTTTTAAACCATATGTAATTTCTTCACTGAATGTACAAGCTATTAAAGTGTAGGCCAATTTTCCAATCCACTAGCCTTCACAAAAGCACATACTTTCATTCGTGCAATAGTCCGATTGATCTCTTCAGTATTTCCCACGGTGACTATGTTTGACTTGAGCATCTGGTCAATTAATACCAACCAGTCAGCCAGTTCAGTTGTAGTTTTATCCAGATCACCAGGTGCAGAAAGTTCCAAAGCCTGCTGAGTCTGAACAGGAATTTCAAATGAAGAAGATACTAGCACCACCTTTTGGACACCTGAAAGAGTTTGGGATTTTTGTTAAAGAAAAAAAGTCATGGCCACATGTGCAACTGTGGGAATTAAAGGGGTTTTTTTGTAATTCCTGTAAATATGCAACAGAATCTACAGAGAAAGCACAGCAAAAATTGTATTCGAGACATTTTTACCACCAGAAACTAAGTAATCAGAAATTCCTTTTGCTTTTTGCTTTTTTAAAGGCCATTATTTTATTGTATGCTAAAGATTTACCCAAATGATTCAGCCTAAATACAAAACAAACAAAAACTTGCAAAGGTAAAATAACTCTAAATCTAATGGACTGAAGCTAAACACTTTGACACAAAAGGGAATTGATTCTTATTAAGCAGAAAAAGCAATCCTTTCATTTAAGATAAATGTCTAAAATTGTCTTCCTCACTTTCGTATTATGTGGCAGAAAGGTTTTCCTCACTCTTGGCTCAGAATTCACTTAATCATAAGTCAAGATACTCCAATAGATGCTTCATGGACTTGGCAATACATAAGTGTTCTAAAAAGAGACAGATGCCCACTAGTTCAGCCCCATCCATTCTATCTTTTTAATCTGACACTGTAAAGAAGTAAGGAATGAGCTGAACAGTAAGATTCACTCCAGAAGCTTTGTTTGGTTGTCTTCTAGTTCCAAGAAAACGCTAAGTTAAATCAAGCTGGAGCATGAATATTACACACTTGCCTGAAGCAATTAAATACAGGAGCTTTACTTAAACACTCCGTATGAAAGGACAACAAGGAATCAAGGTTTTGAAAGTCTTGAACAAAAGCTGGTTTTCTCCTTTAAATTTTATTTACTGCTGCTGAATTGGGAAAAAAAATAGAGTTAATTTACTGAAGTTCAAGCTGAGAATTCTTTCAGGCAAGGGCTGTCTTTTTTACCCAGTTTTCTAACAAGGATATCTAAGCATCTTGTTTACACTCTATACCTGATGATCTGCATCCAACAACTTGAAGAGTTGGCCAGTGTCAGTGCCTGATACAAGAATGTATCATACTTAGCTTCCCCTACAACATTCAGGAATATAAGTATCCAGCAGATCGAAAGACCTATCTGTGTCCCTACTGAGCTGAAAGATGCAGAATGGCCTTTATTCTCAGGACTGTAGAGAACCTGCATGCAGTAGATACTTTACAAATAATTGGCTGTAGGAAAAGGTTCTTGTGGATCTTAATTACTACAAGGCATGACCACAAGGCACAAATCCACAGGAAACCAGGCTGTCACAAACATAGCTATTTTGGTTTTTATTATGTACCTAGTCCACTGGCTCCTAATGAGGAGGACTAAGCTTTACCAAAACATTCCTCCATTTCAAAACTCTTAGGGGAACCCTAAAGGACTCCCCCAATTGTGAACTGCAGTGACTTTTTTCCTAACCAAACATTCCCTCTCCCCTGTAGTAACATGAAGGTAGCCCCAACAGCTATGGATAATATTTCTTATTTCCACTTGTCTAAATTCATAGGGAAAGTTTTCCTTTTTAGATTATTTTTTACCACAAACAAGATTAAACTCAACACAGTTAAGCACGATGGAAGGATTGATCACTCACCAGAAGGCTTTGTCTGTGTAACAACACCAGAGTGCCCAACAAATGTCTCCAACTCTCTCACTCTGTCAGGCACTTCTCTGAACACCTACAGCCCAACAGAATGCAATAAAAACAGTAAGACAACCTATATTACCATCAAAAAAGTAATCACTTATTAAAAGGTAAAGTATTCTATACCATGCTTGTTACAGATATATTTCAATGCATTTTTTCAAGGAATCATTTTAAAATGCCAAGAGGTATTTCAATACTTTCCAGTGTCTTACCTAGATAGAATCATAGAATGGTTTGGGTTGGAAGGGACCTTAAAGATCATCTAGTTCCAACCCCCCTACCATCAGCAGGGACACCTTCCACTAGACCAGGTTGCTCAAAGCCTCATCCAACCTGGCCTTGAACACTTTCAAGGAGGTGGCAGCCACAACTTCCTTGGGCAACCTGTTCCAATATCTTGGAGACAAATAAATGAAGTATTGTAGGCAGGTTGTTTACACAGTTTTTACTACCTAAGTATCAAAACTATGACCCATTGAGTACACTCTGAAGGAAAGAATGTAAAACATAATTTGTGGTCATCAGTGACAGGAAAGTAAAGAAATAGGCAATTAATTTTAAAAGAAAAAAAATTACCACAAAACTCTATTGCAGTGAAGACAAATTTGCCTGCTTTGTTTTTTTTTAAACTTTTAAAAGATAGTGATGGAAATGTAATATACAAAGCGGGGGGAAGGGAGGTGAATCCCCTTTTTCATAGGTAAAACCAGATTTTTTTTTCTTTCCCTGAACTGTCAAAAGTCCCTTTCCCCACTAAATTCTTACCTCCCTGACAGATAATATAATCCCAAATAATTCTGTTCCTTTTTCACTTGAATCTCCAGGCTTTGCTTGAAAAAATGTGGTTTTACTCCAACCAGTGAGTTTTCTTCTCATACACTTGCAAATGACACTGAATACTAGAGTTTCTAGTTTACAGCAGTTATACTCAAGAAGAATCTCACGCACACTTGATTAGATTTTCTCACTTAGCTTTACTGCAGCTTTGTTTGTTTTCCTCTTAACTGCTGCAAACATCCAACTTTCCTATACAGCAAAATGTATTGTGACTCTCCCAATTTCAAATTAATACATCACTGTTGCCTCAAATAACAGAAATATTTTTGATCCAGCTGTTTGAAAGAAAGTTAATACAAAAGAAAATCAACAAAAAAAAAATAAGGTAACTAAACTAACTCATTTCTGATGGAAAAATGTCCATTAGTGTTTTCACATATACATGGATAGGAGCACATTTCCTGAACAAGTCTGCATGGATTCCAAGACTTTTTATGTACATGTCACAGATACATGGAAAGAAAAACAACCATTCTGAGTACACCACTATATTTTCAATTTCAGATACCCAATGCCAAAGAAACGCACACCTTATTCCACCTCACATTGAGGGACTGCAGGCAATCAGAAAGTTTGTCTTTTTCCTGAAGATCAACATTTTTATCCAAAAGCACTTCAGGTTCAGTTCTGTTCAGCCATTCCAGTTTGTCTCCCTGAACTTCCATCTCTTCACTTAAGACCTAAATGGGACAAAAGAGTTTTAGACTGAAGCAAAAAGCACACATGCTTAAGTAAACGGGGATAGGGAAGCTTTCCTTCAACTCCAGTATTTAGGAATTTCCTTGGAAATATATAACAGAAAAGCTTCTATTTTTGTTTCTATGCTATATCAAAAAATTATTAAAACATTAATTCAAATATTGACATGCTAACTAGAGAAAAGCCACAAAACTGCAAATAGCCAGGGTACATATACAGCTTCACATCATGCATACTGATTCTCATCCCACAAGATGTTTCTGTTTTATCACCTCTGGATGTACCATGCATCTCCAAAAGACAACACACTGTCACTCAAAATTGTTGTCTGTATTCATTTAAAAAAATAAATAAATAAAAACTGAGGGCCCTCTCCTGATATGCATTATACAAGTACATAGTAGATCACTACAAGGTACTTTCCTCTTAAGGAAATATGCACTAAAGGTATTTAAAAACTAAAAATAAACTTGTAACTCCACTTGGACCAACCTTCCATAGCCTTCTTTCTCTTTAAACATGAAAGTGCAGGTCAGATTAAAAAAAAACAAACAAAAAACAAACAAAAAAAAAACAACCCACACCTACACTTATACTTGGATTCCCCCTGACTTAAAATCAATTGTGCTATCATTTGCCCATAGACCACAAGCACTGTGTAGTACGAATCACAAATTTTGTCTTTTACACAAGTATTATGGAGGTGAGGACAGTAAAGTCACAGGGACACAGGCCTAGAAGGGAGATCACTGAACACAGAACCCTGTTAAAATAAGCACTTTACCAAATAGTGCCTTTCCTAAATTTTCAAGGGTCTGCCTTAAAATAATTATATTTTTAAACATGTTATATCCTTTTTAATTAGAGGTTTCTCCAGAAGCTCTATTTAGAATTCTCCTTCTCATTCCCAGGCTGTATTTATTCCTGACTGATCAGTTACATCTGTTATTCCCATTCCCCTAATACTAGCCTTTAATAATAGCCCTAAGTTTTCTCATTCTTATCATACCCCTTCTCACCATTCTTTATTTGACAAGACCAAACAAGGCAAGCTTTGCGTCTCTTTGCAGATGAGTTCTTCACCCTCCTGAAAAGCCCAGCAATCTTACTCAGTATCTGTTATATTGCAAGCTCACCTTTCCTTAATATATATAACCAAAATTTTGTTTTTTTTCTTTCACAGGGCCAAATCGGTACTTAATAATTCTCTACCAGTGTTTCTCTAGCAAATTGTGCTCTTCCCCACTTTATTCCAATCCTGCCTTTCACTGCAGGCAACTATATTAAAGCAGATGACAAGAAAAACTAAACTTTCGTGATAGTCAGACAGCCAACACTCAACTGACTTAAGACAATTTGTGTTTAGGCAAACAGCTGCAACTACTTTACATCACATACACATTTATAGGAAGTTCAAGCCTTCCCACCTGATTTGGGTTTTTGTTTAAATTATTAATTTCTAAAATATGAGCAAGCAGGTGTGGTTGGATTGACTACTCCTTCCATTGTTTTAGAATTCCAGAAACATTCTCTTTGACATATCCTACAAACCAAAGGTATTCTCTTGTCAAAGCCAGACACAAAATACACAGGAAAAATACACAGATAAATACACACCAAAGTTACTTGAAATTACCAAAATGCTTATAGTTTAAAAAGCTGGTTGAATAAAATCTTACACATGTAACAAAGTATTATATCTGCTGAGTAAATGGGACAGTGATGCTTACTTACCATTTTAAGTTTATCATCTTTATGCTAAAGTTTTGACAATTAAAAAGTTGTCTTGGGGACATAATCTCCAGTGAATAAGTTATCAGTTGTACATGTATTTCTTACTTTCTGGTACAGAGTCATCATCTCCCGGCTAGACAACCCAGTTAACTACTCAACCCAACTTCATTATGAGAAGCATCTTGCCTATGTAAGTAATCCCACAAAACTCTCGCACAACCATAATAATTCTTTGGCTGTTTAGAATGTGAAAATTCCCCTCCCCGAAAGCCCTGTCCTGATACTTTGCACAAGACATACACATACATACACATATACACACTAATTGATCTTGCCTGTAATTCTCGCAAGTTTTCTTCATGGTTGAATGTAAATCTTGTGTCCAGAGCATTTTCTACATTTTCCAACCAGCAGCGCAGCTCATCAAGCTTCTTTCTGTACTCTATCAGCTGCTGATTCTCTCCTTTTAGCCTTAAAAAGGAAAACAAAAAATCCACATGTATTTCTGCAGTGAACACAGCATGTCAATCCTACATTACTTCTGATGTAAGTCACATGTTTTTCAGCAGCTGGAGAATTTTAAAGGATGCATTTTGGTAGTCAAAGGATTCTATCCTCATCAGTAAAATGCAAGATATTTGCAAAATTAATGCTACCACCTTAAAAATTGATAAATTTCAGTCCCGAAGTCACAAAATAGACTTCTAAAAGTCTGCAGAAAACATTAAACATAAGCGACAGTATGACAACACCTTCAGGCCTAATCATTTGAAGCCACTACAAGGCCACTGTTAGTGAAAGTGTTAGAAATGTCTTTAAACCTTCCAAGGGAAAAATTCCCTAAATCACACAAAGCTTAAATAGAATCTCAGACCAAATAATTAAGAAAAATCTTATTACATTTCTAAAGGTATCAGGAGATGTTAAAACCATATATTATATAAATAGCCTCCAAAAACAACTATTAATTCCAGGGATTTATCCTTAAACTTTTTTTGCAGTAAGAAGAGGAGGGGAGGGTCTTATATTCCCAGATATGCTGAACATTTTATATTTATCCCAGACAACTTTGCTCTTCAATCTTTTGAAGTAAATTTAAGGCCACTTCAAAATGGATTTTCATTTTGTTCAGAGAAATACATAGTCAGATGGATTAATGAATTCCAAACACAGACCTAAAAATCTTATTTTATAGTATTGTGGAAATTCAAGAACAATACAAGTGTTTCTATTAGCGTATCTCTGATAATACGAAAATAGAAATCAAGGTAATGCACTTACAGTTCAGCTTGAGCCAGAGAAAGCAGCTGAGTATTCCTTCCTAAAAAAGTCTGGCTTAGCAATGAAATTATTTTAGAAACAAAGGAAAATTGTAAAAAACAAAAAGTTTTGTGGTTGTCATTTGGTGAATTGTGTTAAACATAGACTCACTAAGCAGTCAATTGCAGCTGCATTTATGAGAAATTGGTTCTAGAAGACAGTTCAAAACAGAGGTCTGAATGTCAGGAAAATTCAGATTAATGACAGCATGCAATACAATGCACTATCTCTCCCAGAGTCTTCTAAATTAGATTCTCCTCATCGCATCTGGCCAGACATCCAAATTTCTGATTAACTTATTACCTCTGTTGTCTATCCATGACCTCCACAGTGATTGCTTTCCAGCGTCTATTCAATCCCGCCAGCTTCTCCTGCAGGAAGCTCCCGTCCGTAGCAGACAGTTTCTGTATGATCCCTTCCCCAGTTCTGTTCAGTGCCGAAACACTGGTCTGATGGCTGCTGATTCCTTCCTCAAGTTCCTGTCAAAAACATAAAAACCACACAGAATTTTATTACTGACCTAAAGTGACTTTGATCTGTGGCTCATAATATGGAGGATGAATCCTGGGTGCATATTATTTTACTAGAACAGGCACTTAAAGCCATCCTCCTTAAAATTAGATGCTGCTGATTTAAGTTATTAAGAGTCTGTTGTTGAATCTAGTTCAATTTTCTAATGAGTGTCATAAAAAGATAATGACACAGAATAGGCTGCTGAATACTACTTAGGATCACAAGCATTCATTTAAACCATCAGTGCTAGAATCCATTCTCATGTTTGATTCCTTTCCTCTTAATGTACAGCACTTTCTAGTAGTGCTAACAGATGGTATGACTTTTTTTAACTAGTTCTTTTCATAACCTATGCCCCTGAGTATTCTGTAATTTAATAGTATTTTAGCTAGGATAGCCATGGCTGTGCTGCCGTGGTCCCCAGACATCAGAGAAAATCCATAACACTGAAGGAAGTCAGAAGATGTCAGGATCCAACTTTCAAATATCCCTAACCACTACAAAAACCTTACACTACTAATAAAAATTTCTTTGCAACTGGATTAGGAATAAGATGATTCAAGAAAGAGAAGGGAAATGCCATAAAAGAAAACTCCGAGCATCAATAAGGGTAAAATACAGACTCTATGTTAGGTAGAACACACATTTCTTTAGCAACACATACCTAACTTTTGGATAACCATTATTCCCAAAAGAAAAAAATCTGATCCTTCAAGTTATGTTTTCTTCTTATTATTTCAAAGGAAGTAAAGTAGCTTAGCTAAACAGAAAAGTCTGCTCTTTCATAATGATGAGCTAGAAAGACATCAGGGAATTAAATTCCAGAAATGAAGTCTGAAACAATCAAACCTAAGACATCTGTAATTGGAATCTTCTCTTTTTCTAGACTGCTTATACAAGGCAGGATCTTGCAAAGTCATTAGTTTAAAAAAACAATTTGCTAAGTTAAAATTGACCATTGTTGGGGTTCATTTTTTAATTATGAGTAGAAAGAAAATTAAATAATATACTGGATTTCTTAATCAATTAACATATTTTTAAAACTGTAATGAAACTTAGAAAACAACAAAAATTATGCCAGCATTTCAATTATCTTCTAATTGTCTCAAACCCATCCATACTAAGAGTCATCATAAAACCCCAAGCTATAAGCATGAGTCGAGATCTTCCCTAAGAATCATTTTAAACTGCAATTGAAAAATAAATTTTAAGTTACCACTTTTTAAAGTAATTGCAAAACCTTATTTCAACTCTATATGTCTAGATAGAAAACTAGAATTTTAGACAAAAATCTAGACTTTTTCCAGCTTGCTTTTTTTCCTGAACAAACCACACATACCTGCTGATGCAGCCCAGCTGTCTGCAGCTCCAGGCTGCCATCTGGACCACGGGCATCGGCTAATAACACTTCAGCTTCTGTTATCCAGTGGGACAGGTCATTGAGATCACAGTGGAACTGCCTCCACACCTCAATCGCTCTATCAAAGCAACTGTTTGAAAACAAAGCATTGAAAAAATTATCCAAACTGTCTTAGTGAAAAGGCTACAATTTCTACGCCAGAGAGCAGAAACTTTCCTTGTCAAACAGAAAGGCTAGTGTATAACCTGGTTAAAAAAGCCCCAGTACTGAAGCCTCCTGACATCGTAGCAGCTGGTAAAATCCAACAGCACAGACTGTCATTAACTTCCAGCTGAAGGAAAAAAGGGCAGTCCTAAGCAAACTTTTGTTTCTATCACATGAAAAATAAAGACTGATTAGCTTCATCAAATCAGTCTGCAGAACCCTTTTTTTCTTTATTATAAAACTGTTCAAATATCAGACAGTGTGGAACATGAAATATGAGTAACTGCTCAGGTATGTAATTTTTTTAATTCATAAACCATGGGTTGCTGGTGCCTGGAATTTAGTAAGTGAAGGTGATTTTGAGTATATAGAACTGACTATATTACCAGTGAGTCCACATAAGCAGGTCTCATACAATTTAATCACTCTAATTTACCAAGCATTTCAATATTATTATCATCTTTGCAAACTCAAATTAATGCATAGCTTAACTTGAAGGGCAACATTATCTAGGGTGGAACAGGCTAAATTATCACAGTCAGAAGGTTGTTTTAATTAAAATGAGAGTTCTACTATGTTAACAAACTAACAAAAACAGCCCGTGAATGTTAAATAAGAAAGCCATAGAGTGGCTTGCTTTCTACTTGTTGATTGCTAACTATGTTATCATTATAAAGCAAATAGGACAGATGTCTCAAAGGACACAGGACTTGAGACAAACAACATGAAATCTACATCAACAGGCTGGATATTATCCCATTCCAAACTAATAAAAATAGTCTTTAAAGACACAAGAGGCCAGGTCTCCTGCTCATCAGCAGACCCTCCAATACGACAGAGGAAAGATCTCATCTGTGGCCCTTTATTTTGTCTTAAACAATTCCAACAGCAAAGACATCTGAAACCAAACTTTAAAGAGGTACCATTGCATCTATTTTCTTCACTAATTAAATTCAATCCCAGAGTTCTTGGTGAGATTATTTTCATCAAAATTTTAGCTCTTTTTTATCAAGACATCCATATTTCTTGGCACATACAGGGGTTTTGTTATTATTATTCTTCATGTGAGCCATTTCTAATAAGAAAGAAAACCTTAAAAATATCTACTTAAATTTTTCTGACCCTATCTCCTAGTTCTACCGTTTCAGTTTTCTGCACACATCTCAATTCAATACACTAGGCAAACCTGCAGACTGACCCCAAATCTCATTCTTCTTTTATTTCTCAGTTACATTTTAGTCTAACTGAACATATTGTCTCATGATAGTATCTAATTCTGCATTTAATGAGAAGACATATTCTAAGTACTTAGAATAGTTTAAAGGACTATTTTATTGACTTCCTCCAAAATGAAAGTTTCTGGGGGAGTTTCGAACATGTGACTTTCAGAATCCAGAAATTTAGAACTTAAAGGTTTTTAATCGCAAAGCGTTCTTTAAACTCCATCAATATTTTGAGTAACGAGATGAAGTTTCGCTCCAGTTTTGAGCCAGATGCACATGCTGCTGTTTCACTACAGACTTCCTCTGCTGAAAGTTAAAAGTACCACAGTCCTGTCACTACAGCATCAGAACTTGGCTGCTCCTTGCCTCCTCTGCAGGAATCTGCTTGCTTCCAAAGACACATCATTTCCAAGTCACCAACACTTTCAGCACCGGTGGAAAGTCCATGGCAAAAGGAGAAACACTAGCAAACCAGCTTTGTTACAAACAGCTCAAGAAAGCATTAAGTTCATACAAACACGCACACAACACACATACATTTTACTTTACACATATGTTCAAGTCAAACTGAAGTCAACTGGATTTAGTTGAACATTTAAATCTTTGGTAAGCACTGTTTAATTCAACTTGTGCGTGGCTTCATCAGAGCTTCTATCACAGGTTTAACTACTTAGCTGGCACTCAGTCACAAAATCATTACTATCTCTGAAAACTAAATCAATCTTTTGCCACAGACTTCAAATGCTGTTTCTACTAATTCTGTCAAAATATCCACCCACTCCAGAAATAAATAAGAAAAAGCCTGAGATTAAGGAGATGGAGTCTTCTAGCCTTCTTGCTTATACTTATGGCAACACTGGGAAAAGAGAGAATTAACTTGGCTAAAAATACTTCTAACAGAAAGGGTGTAAAAATACTAATGCCAATATACAGCATTTTAATTTTGATACTAATATTGTCTTCATTAATCAAAGTAAATCCTGGTACTAAAATTGTAGTGCTTAATATATACAGGAAGCTACATACCATTTTAGCTAAAATTGCTAGTTCAGTAGTCCCTTTTGTATGAAAATCATGCCCAACATTATTCTCATTACGATGCAGAGCTTTACAAACATTTATGAATTTCAAGATTAATTTGTATTCAGTGAACCAGCTGAGGATGTAATCTGTTGCATTTTGCCAGCTAATCATAAACATGGAACTTTGATGCACTTACCTTTTTCAGTGGGAAGACTGGGTTTCTGGTTAACCCTGGCCACTTAATGGAATGAAATTTAAGTAGTAAATGAAACTGTGTGCATATTTACAGAAAGATAATATTACTTAAAGCTTTTCAATTAAGTTACGGGAGGGGGAAGAATAACTAAAGCTTACTGTATGTCACTCCAATGAAGACAACAAGATAGCTGCAAGCATATAGAGACAGATGGGCACCAAATACTGGAGCAGTAGTCTCCAAACACGGCAGGCGATCACAGGCAGCCAGCAAGAGCACAGAAAGTGGTACCCAGTTGGAACCACTACTTGTCATCAAATTAAAAAACAGTGGAACAACAGTGCCTGATGAGTTATTTGAAATCTTGATGCTTCACTGATCCAGTGGCTCAGAATTTCTGGAATCTCTGCTTAGACAATACCATCAACCAATATTTATTCAAGGTTCTTATTTTATTGAGCCTTATTTAGCCCTATTTTATTGAGCCTTACTGAAGGCTCCTATTTTATTGAAGGCTCTACAGAGGGACCTGGACAGGTTGGATCAATGGGCTGCAAACAACTGTACGAGGTTAAACAAGACCAAGTGCCAGGTCCTGCACTTGGGTCACAATCACATGCAATGCTACAGGCTTGGGGAAGAATGGCTGAAAAGCAGCCTGGCAGAAAAGGACTCTGGTTTGTTGTTTGACAGCTGGCTGAACATGAGCCAGCAGTGTGCTCATGTTGCCAAGAAGGCCAGTGGCATCCTGGCCTGTATCAGAAACAGCGTGGCCAGCAGGACCAGGGAACTTATCCTTCCCCTATAACTCAGCTTTGGTGAGGCTGCACCTCAAATACTGTATCCAGTTTTGGGCCCCTCATTACAAGAAGGACATTGAGTTGCTGGAGTGTGTCCAGAAAAGGGCAACGAAGCTGGTGAAGGGGCTGGAGAACAAGCCTTAGGAGGAGTGGCTGCTGTGATGACTCTCATGAGTGCTGCAATGGATGGCTATAAGATCTTCAGGAAGAATAGGCAAGGAAGGAGGGGTGGTGAGGTGGCTCTCTCTGTTAGGGACTGTTTTGATTGCAAAGAGCTTGAAGTTTGTGATTACGAGGTCGAGTGCTTATGGGTAAGAATGAAGGGGAAGGCCAACAAGGCAGATATCCTGTTGGAAGTCTGTTACAGACTACCCAACCAGAATGCAGAGGCAGATGACGTGTTCTACAAGCGGCTGGCAAAAGTCTCACAATCGCTAGCCCTTGTTCTTGTGGGGGACTTCAACTTACTGGACATCTGCTGGAAATACAACACAGCAGAGGGAAAACAGGC